GAGCCCTCTGTAGCCTTGGCTGCGTCCTTCCTAAACCAACATTATGGGAGGGACCCAGTTCACCAGCCCATCATTCAGTTTACTCTGCATTGGCCTAAAAGTGTCATGCACATACATGACTTGGAAAAGAGCTTTGCATTTCAGGAGAGCCCACTAAAAAGAAAAAGAAAACCCGCCCCTCACTAACCATTTATTGGCTTTGCCTCGGAAGAAAGGGAGAGTGAGCCCCTTCTAAAATCTGAGCAGAGCGCCCCAGATTTTAAACATTCCCCCCCACACCTATGTGGGCCGGCTTGCTCAGGGAGGGCGTGGCTCCAGCTTCTCACCTGATGCCCTTGGCCTTGAGGACAAGACGAGTCCTGTGCGAATATGGGCAGAACCTCATGCTGTAGAGGCGGATCAGGCCCTCTGGGACCGGCCCTGGGGGGCAGCTTCCTGCAGGGCGGCAGTAGGGGAGCAGGAATGAGAGGCTGCTTAGCCCGGTGGGCAAAGGAACTCACTCACTTCCCCCATCCCAGGAGGGCTGTGCGAGCTCCGTCTGTCTCCCAAGTCCCAGAGAGGCCACTGGGCACTTGGCTTTTGTGCAGGGAGCCCTCCGAGTCCCTCCCCGACCCCCGCCGATACCCCCCCACCCCGCGCCTGCGAGCCAAGGCCGGGAAGCCCCTTCTCCGGAGCCAGCATCCTCAGTTACGAGAGCACCCAGCCCACGGACCCCCGTCGAGGACTCACCTTTCCCCAAGGCCTTGGTCGCATCCCCAGGCATGTCTCCAGACTCCTCCGCAGGCAGGCTCCAGGGACAGGCGGGCTCCGGCGCCTTCCTCCTGCCCCAAATTCGATATTTGAACTAAGGGCTCCGGCGGGGCAGAGGGGAAGAGATCTGGGGCAGGAGCTAGGATAACTAGACCTAGGGAGACATCGCTCCAGCTTCAACCAACAGCCCAGAGATGCAGGGGCCACCTGCATAGACCTTTGATCTACCTGAGGTAAAGGAGGTAGCTGGCCTTGACTTTGACCTGATAAGCTAAGATCCTGAATTTCAGCAGGTGGAAAAATAATTCCTTTAATTTTCAGGATTCAGCTGAAGTGGGAATTGCTTATAAATTCATTTTATGGGATTGACAGATAATGAAGAGAAGAAAAGTATTTTATGTGTCTCACTCACATGGACTAAATTATCTTATTTGATCCCCACAACAAATTAGTCAGGCAGCTAGTATTATTCCTATTTTACAAAATAGAAAACAGCCTCAGAAAAATGAAATTATTTGCCCAAAGTGACCAGCTAGTAGGGTTTAAGAACTTTAAAAGTCCAAAGCCTGACTCTATCTCTTGGCCTCTAAAGCTGGTAACAGTGTGGAGAGAAAAGGACATAACTACAGGAAAAAAATATAGCACATAATGGCTGCTCAATATATGTTATTTGAATCTAAATATCTTTAATTAAAATGCCAGAACCGAATTGTGTACCTTAAGAATGGGCACCTTTTGCCCTTTGGAGTCCCAATCTATCCAGAACTTTTTGGTTAACAGTGCTAACATTTTTTGCTACTGAATAAGAATCTTTGAACATCTTCAGAATGGTGACTCAACTACATTTTTTACTAAGTCATTCAGTGATTTCATGTGAGATAAGCTTAGATAATAATATGGCATGTGCTGTCATTTTATAAGAATTGAAGAATGGCAAAAATGTTTAAATAAATGTTCTTTGCCTATATGTCAGCAAGAAATCTGGTTGTTGGAAAAGACAAATTAGTTCTTGACTTGTTATTCTAACAACTTTTCATTTTGGAAGATAAAGTGATAGAATAACTACTACTCAGGAGCTAATTTTGATCAAGAAGGACAAACTTGGGTGGTAAAATAGAAGCAAGAAACATAACCATGTCATGT